AACGCTCGCGATTTAGTTATGTAGTTTTAGTGCCGAGAAAAAGAAATCGATCAAGTTTGGATAATATTGCACAATAGAAAAGTTTGTGTTAAATTTAACAGATATCACATTTTCCAAACGGTCCACACAACTTTTTCTGTTAATTTAACATAACATGGACATATTAGAGACACACGGCATCTCGCGACGCCTTTGCTTATGGTACAGCTAACTTTAAGGCCCGGTTTTTCATTTTCTGGTCATAGACATAGTACATATAGACTGCGCGTTCCCTACTTTACTCGCGTGAAAACATGCGCCAACTTTAGAAAGAGATAGCTGGTGTGGGACCGTATCTTTATCTTTGTCGAAATGAAGTAGTGGGGGTAAACAAAAGAGTAGAGGAACGATAGATAGACAGAGAAAGAGCTACGACGTAAGGCACATGTTGTCTCTTTCTCAGGTGTGCAAACGTCTGCAGCCACAATGCGCAGTCTATATATACTATGTCTATGTTTCTGGTTAAGAAAAAGATACAGAGTCGACTATAAACTTCTGGTTAATTGTTAACCACAAGTTAGTCGACTCTCTATCTGTTGGGGAACCTGCAATACCGACACGGAACTCTGTGGCGCCGTCCTGACGAGAGAGAGCGTGGCGTTCGGGAGCTGCGCGAAATGGCTGACTTCATGTAATGGCGGTCTTTCTTGTCGTTGCGCACGGTTGTTCTTTCGAAAAATCTTCCTCGTTGACTGAGAACTGCGCGTATCTTCTTTTGGTTTGATCTGCATCCAATTGAGGACGTGGTTACACTCGAGATCCTGAATAGCTAGGAATATCAGAAGGTCTGGTCGCAAAGGAGGAAGGCCTGAAGTAAGGCAGTCGGGGAGTCCTCGTTCGACTCTCCGCCATTAACCGCAAGGTGAGAGAGCCCTTGTTCGACTCTCATGCATAGCCGCAAGGTGATAGAGTCCCTGATAGTCCCGTCTGGGCCGTCTTCACACGTCTTCCGACGGAAGATAAATTTTTGATCCTGCGGGATTGCATCATCCCGCGCGTGGCCCGTTTGCCGGGCCATTGCATTGTTTAACTCATATTTAGCCTATTGGTTCGACGTGGCCGTGTGCTATAGTGTGGGGACTTATATTATACATTGGAGGACAATTGGTTCGACGTGGCCGTGTCGGCTCAGCGTTTGAGCCGGGAGCCATAGGATAGAAGAAGAAGAAGATAGAGTCCCTGTTCGACTCTCTTTCATAGCCACAGGGTGATAGAGTCCCTGCACGACTCTCTTTCATTACCGCAAGGTGACAGAGTCCCGGTTCGACTCTTACATCAGTCATTAACTGAAGGCCCTCACAGTAGGTGGGGTTCGTTCTGTTGCAGGTTGCGGCCCATTTATCTTTCAAGATTTCCAAAGCCTGTCTCTGTATCGCTGAAGTCAGGCGGCACAATAAGATATTGTTTCATTTACGTTTCGGTTTACATTAAGATATTGTTTCATTTTCGTTACGTTACAACATTTATCCTTATAATACATAGTTTGATACCACAACACGCTTTGACATTTATTTTATAATATAGTTTGTTATCACAACACTATCTTCCTTTATATTATTATGTAAAAAGAGACAGAGAATTCATTAATCTCTGGTTAGCAGTTAATAAGAAAATTAAAAACCGGGCCTAAGAGAGAGGTAAAGTAAAAGTTAAAAGTTACAGATAAAATGTAACTAAGTTCAGTCAAAAGTTAACAGTCTATAATGTAACTAAATTAAGTTAAAATTATTCAACCTTTTAACTTTTTAACTTAACTTTTATCATTCTAACTAGACACTACCCAACCCTGCAATTATGTCATTTTTTATGAAACTGCTTGTCGAGATCCTTTGTGAGTTTCAAACGATCTCATCTGAAAGATATCTATGGAGATGGTGGAGCAAAATGCAATAGGGAGACAAAGAGAGGAGCGAAAAAAAAACATGACGCATTTTTATAATAGCTTTTCGTACGCAACGATCGATGTTATTGGAATCCGAAGAATTCTGTCGTCGACGGTATTGAGCGTGATCACTGTTCCGGTCAGCGCCTCCCTCAGAAAGATATCGACCGTCGTGTACAAATCCGAGCCCTCTCGCCGGAACGTTTCGTGAGGCCGGTCCTCCGTGACGAAGATAACATCCGCTACGCTGACAGTGTCTTGGACTTACAAGGGAATACTATGCGCTGCTCCTCACCGATCTTGATAAAACTTGCAACAATGATAGACAATACTGTCTAATCGTGTAAAGCTGTCTGAATGGATTTTCGAAGCTGAGTTATGAGCAGTTGAAGGCTGATCCTGCCACTAATTTTATATAATATAAATGGGCGTTATGAGCCGTCGTGGCTCAGCGACCAGAACGTGCAACTAGAACGTTCCTTAGGACGTCGATTGCTATGGATGATGCCGGAAAAATGTTTTTTATATCTTGTATCTCTGATAGGCATCCTTTTTTCACGTTAGACAACGACCAAAGAAAACACACGGAGAGACCGATGTGGTTACCACATGTCTAATTAGGGTTGGCACAACCCCATTAAATAGTAATATTTGGGACAGCTATATCTGTGGTTGTCATACCCACTTGGGTATGATAAGCAGTGGAGACAACTATATGCGTTTTGTGCAGCGAGCTTAATGAATGTTCTTATTCTTATTATTGGCACTCGGCTCACTGACCACTGAGCCGACACGGCCACTTAATGAATGTTGCAACGCAAAACAATGTAGACGCCCCTACTATTTATACGGCAACATTTTCATTTTAGTTATTTTTGCCTTAGCCGGCCTTTCCGTGCAGCAAATCTTATACCTGCATCGCGCATAGTACTTTGTTCGAAAAAATTTTCACATTTAAAACATACAACAATGTTTCTCGTCTTCTTTTCTGAGGAGAGTCTTACAAAAAAATCTTACAAAGATAAAGAAAATTATGTACTTGGCGTCGCGACGCTACCATGTCACCTGATACGCTGCACGTCTTCTTCGCGACGCTATCCATACAGGGTGTTTAAAAAAAAAATATCGCGTATTTTCACGGCAGGAGCGGATAATAGGCCACACCAGCACTACATGATGTAAAAATGTGCGACACTCTTTTTTTTAAACATCCTGTACACACATGTGTAGATATTTAGATAGCTAGCAAGACTGTAGACATACGAGTGATACGAGACCTTATTTCTCTTCTAGATTAATAAAAACCTAAGGACTGAATAAACAAATAAAAAGTAAACTGATAAATAAATCAATTTTTAAGTAACATCGACTGCTAAAGCGTTCTATTAAAGAGAGGATCCACCTTTAACTGCTTATAACTCATCTTCGAAGATACAATCAGAAAAACAGCTCTATTAATTAGTTAGATAGTATCTTCTGTCACTGCTGCAAATTTAAACGAAGTCAGTCAAGAGCAGTGCGTAGTATCTCCTTCTTAGTGAAGATATCATTCCTACTTCTTACGATTAAGCGTTAACTCTTATTCTGCGAAGCCCGCATTGTCACGTGACGATGGCCGTCTCATGTCTGATTGTACGATCAATTATGCGAATCTCTCTCGTTGCCAGTTAATATTACTTTTCGTCACTTTATCAACTTATTATAGAAACGGAAGTTCTATAAAAAATGACCGATCGTATTTTCGTCAATTACGAAGGGATAAAATTCAGCGTAAGAGTTAAATTGTTAATTATGAGAAACGTTACGGTTTTAAAAGTATAAAAAGTTGTTTGGTTTTATGGTAATTGTGAGAATAAAATTTGAACAAAAGTGTGAGGCTAGGAGAGTCACAAGGAGTCTATTTGTTTTATTATCGCAATTATATAGTAATACTCGAGCCGTGGCTACGACCGTAAGCCAAGCTCAGAGAAGATCAAGAAGGCAATGGAAGGACTTACCGGGTATCTTCGTAGGACCTTGATCACCCTCTTCTGGAAATACTATTCTGGTACCTGCTGGGATTCCCGGCTTAATAGGTATCGTCAAGATCTTCTCCATCGACAACGTCGTCGACTTATCGTCACCGACTAAAACCAACCTCTGGATCTTCATTTTCTTTATCCCGCCGAAAAATATCTACGACAAAACGTTTCCAGCTGTCCGAGATGCTAGACGTCACATTCGCCCTTCGTCTCTTACGACGTTTACGCACGTTAAAATCTACGTTGCGTATGTAAGACGCATTTAATTTGACTTTTATCATTTTACGAAATACAAATTTAATAATGTTGGCAATAAGATAATAAGTAGAAGAAACAGTCCCTGGAAATAATGTGCAATGTTTTAAGAATTTCGTGAATGAAAAATATACAAAAGAAAAATATATATGCATGTATTAATTTGCACGACAAGTTGAGAGTTGGAATAAAAATGAAAAAGAAATGATTTATAAATATAGGTCGGTTCTCACTTCGGAGAGAGTTAAAAACAGGGTTTTAATCAAGGGCTCCTCCTTCCGTTTTACGCCCCGACCCTCAGGAAATTCAAGCAGAGGCTGAGGCTCTGTTAGAATATTTAGGAGATCGTCGTACGGATTTTCAGTCGCGAAGAATTCTCTAATGGTAAAATTCGCGACAGACATTAACTTCTAGAATTCCAAAAGTCTTCGTAAAGACCGAATTATGCGTACTATAAACATTTATTTCGGAAAAACAGATATATCTATTGTTTTCCGAAGAAAAGTAAGTGCCTTAGTAAGTGTCGCGTTACGCGAAGTCGAGTATCGAAATCAGAATGCATTACATAAATTCGCGATTTATTTACAACGACGAGAGCTCAATGGCTCTTGGTTCCACCTAAAGGTCCGCATCGGATCGTCGTGATAGACGTAAGGTTTCACGAATCCTTCTGGTCTCGGCACACCATTTTTAAGACCCTCTTCACCGTATTGATCATACACAGCCCTTCTAAGAGGATCTGAAAGCACGTCGTACGCTTCAGCTGCTAAGGCGAAAATCGCCTCAGCACCTCCGTTCTTTTGCCGCGCGGGATTGTATCGTATGGCGCATCGTCGGTATCTGGAAGAAATAACCGCGCTATTTCGTCGGTGCGATACGTCTCGCCTTTCTTTACTACCATATTTTTTACGTGAACCGTACGATTAATATAATAAAAGCGGTGAAAAATCCTTCGCAAAATGTCATTTAATATTACAAAGACATATTTCATAAAAATACTATCGGTGTTAAAAAGTGGAAGACGACGACACTTTGTTAACAGAAACTTCTACTTTTGCATATTTTTGTAGAAAGTATCGCACTTACGCTTCCTTGACTTCCGCATTGTCGCAGTTTCGCCGCAATGACAAAGTTTTGTAATAATTTATACCGTCTTGGGTGCACATGCATTTATCGCATGGCGCATTCATATTCAGGTCACTCTTCGAAGCTTGAGAATCCATGTCGAAGAGCAGTGGGGACGAAGAATAACGTAAATTTCTTTCGGAAAGTGACATTTATCCGCAGCGAATGTCTTTTATTTTCTTCAGCATCGTTGATCGCGCGAGACAGAGGGCCCCCGGCAATAAGACGATCGGCGCATCGTTACGTGTTTTCAACAACCGACGCGACAACGGAAGTGTGCCTGTATCTGCGTGCCGATATTTCACCATTATCAAGAGGCTCAGGTGTATTCTTGCAGATAACAATATGCGAAATCGACAGCCGGTCTCCCGACGGCGAGTCTGATCGCAACAAATTTTTACCGTTATGGAGACCCGCGAGTGCGCCTCGAGTTTCGCCGTGAAAGGTAAGCATGTAAAATCGCGTTCGGCTTCTAAACATTTCATGGTACGACAATTGCACGGAGCGCACGACTAAACGCACGCTGAATAATGCAAGGCGTGAAATATCTCGTGAGATATCCTAAAACGGTTCGAAATAGAAATGCTGTGAAATTTTATATTCAACAATCAAGAAGGAAATATTTAAAGAACGTATCTCGTCTAGAAATAACGAAATCTCACGACTGTTAGTAACAAAATGTTATTGAAATATATATTTACGGAAAACCTGATGGCGTATCACGTTCTTCAAAGGGAATGATATCATATAATACGTTTCGTTTGCATTTAGAGGAAATCATTGAAATTTGCAAAGGGAAAAGGTGCATTCGTGACAGCGCCAAAGTCATTGTCGTAGTGTCACCGACGGAGACAAAGCCATTCGCTTCCAGTGAACATTCGAAGACCGAGAAGATCAATAATAACATGAGCTTCCTCGACGTTATTTCTTCTATGCACTCTCTCGTTGAGAAGAATTTCGATAACGACGACGACGATAAGGAGAACACGACGATAAAGCGCGTCCTCGGTGAGCCGGAGTCGTGTCGCAGCCGTGAGGTGGACAAGATTTTTCCTCAGCAACAGCCGCGGACACAGGCAAATCGATCGCCGAGACGCAAGAGCACCGGTATTCCGACGTTGTTGTGCATCGATAGCAATAGACTTGCGGATGCGACAGCGGCTGGAGCTAAACGCAAGATCCCGAGGCCGGCGAACGCCTTTATGCTGTTTGCCAACGAATGGCGAAAGAAACTCGCTGCGGAAAATCCTCGGGAATCCAACAAGGATATCAGTGTCAGGCTAGTCTCTCTTCTCAAAGAAACGTTCGTCTCGGTCGGATAAATACGCAGTTAAACAAGACACTCTCTTTATAATCTTGCGCATAAAATTTTGGAAGAGAAATAATCTTGCAATTAGTAAAGATCAGAGTGTTCTCGTGAATCGCGATTATATACTCGATTTGTTGCTGAAAAGATTAAAAGGCTCCATACACCTAACTTTTGTCGGATAAAACTTGCCGAGAAAATTATTGTTTGAGAATACATGGCTTTCCTCATGTCTTTAGGCTGGGCGTTTTCTGGAAGAGCATATCGAAGGATGTGAAGGAAAAGTATTTTGCCCTGGCGCGTGAAGTGGACAGAGAGCACAAGCGAAAGTATCCTGGTACGTCCTGTATAGTCTACCTTTTGAATGTGACCTCATTTACATGCGCCTGATCGAATCGTCGGGAGAGTCTCCTGATTTGCCCGAAACGCTCGTGAGGCGCGCTACGCAGCTACGCGACAGATTGGCGCATCCTCCCGCCGGTGCGAAGGACAATACGAATACGATACAGCGGGGAATAAGATAACGCGGGGAGGGAAACGCCGATATAAAAACGCCCGGAATGTGTCGCGGACTGTCGAGCGGTCGCTAAAATTAGAAATCTTGTTACTTTCTCGCCGCGTGCACGACATCCCAAAGTGTCGGGCCACCGTCTATAAATAGCCGGGTTGGATTAGATATCGATCGCCGGCGATAAGTCTGTCCGCGTTATCAGCCGACGAAAAGCGAGAAGCCAGCGCGCACCGGCGCTAACGTCTCACCCCCCGGGCGATCGTCCTTGATCCAGGCGCAACGCGTCGCCTGGTCCCATCATTCGCAACGTGACATTACGCCTGCCGGAGAGGGACGTCGTCATGTCGCCAATTAACATCGTTACAATCTCCGATCGACGCCAAGTAATCCCCCGGCTATCTTTTCGGTTCGTGCGCGACGTCGCGGCGCTGAAATGTCAGGTCTTTATTTAAAGTTCAACCGGAGGGCGCGAGAGATCGGTGTCGCGGGTGCCTCGGACGCGATTGTAGGTCGCAGACGACGACGACGACGATGGCGAGCGTGAACGATCCTTGCGGGGGCGGCAAAGGGTGAACGCGGGAGGATGCGAGTTTTGCGGGCCGAGGTACAGGGTGGCGAGCGGAGAGAAATATTCTCGGGTGAGTGACGCGGGGAGAACGCGCGGGTGGGAACGGCGGAGAGAGAGACCGGAGGTATTGATTGCGACGCGACTCTCTAGGAACCTGCCCGATACACGACCGCCGGCTCTACCTACCTACTGCCTACACCCACCGAGGGCGAGCGAGCGAGCGAGCGAGCGGACGGACTAGCGGGCGATTATACCTTCGTATATCCCGCGTTGCTGACGCGCATTCGTGCGCGAGAGGACCGTCGCATGTTCGCCGCGAGCGCGTACAGGCGTGCTCGTCGCCGAACCAGGTGTCGCCTGGCCCTCTGACTCTCGGTCGATTTCGCGTGCCACCCCCTCCCCCTCCCCCTCCTCCCCCCGTCCCTCTGCCCGCTTTTCCGCCGGTTACATCCGCTCATCTCGTCTCTTCTTGCATTATAAAAGTTATCCGTGGCGATGGAATTTCGCGTCGGTACGACGCGAAAATTCTATACTTGTCACGCGTTTCGCAATCGGGCGCGCTTGACGCGGGAGGGACCGGAGCTTAGATTGCGTATCGAAATACGCGCTCCCGCATCTTGCCCGCGAGTTTCTCTTAATTGATTGAAAAGGGTTCGCCGTGGGAGTGGTTCGAGTGGCCAATTTTTCAAAGTGATTATACAGCTGCGTCGCTCGAGGGATAGTAAAGATAGTTAACCCGTTAGATCGATACGTATTATTTTTGTCCGTGTCTCTCGCAGCCGGCACCGTTCGGACAAACCCCCCCCCCCCCGGTTTTCTTCGGACGAGCCGCAAATTGCCGTCTCACCGACGCGCGGCGAGTCGTTGATATTCGTGTACACATAATTTCACTTTCCGCGCCGAGCTTTTGCGCACACGTGGCATTTCGTTATTGCGATCAACATTTGTCCCCATTGCACAATAATGCGGTTTCAACCTCTCGGGGATAAGTGTGAAAATTCGAATATTCAAAATGTTGCACATGTCTCGATCTCGACGTATCGAATAATTATGCGCGCGGTATTTAGTACCGAGGCGCCACATTGTGTACAAACGCGCGGCGAATTGCGTCGAGAGGGAATGTTCGGTTGTACTTTCTCCCCGGTTACACCCGCCGCCTCGTTGCCGCGCAAAATGTAACGTTAAATATCATTTCCGTCATCCCCCCCGCATTCTACTTTGATTCACGTTTTTCGCCGCGTCTCTCGGCTTGGAAACGCTCGCTCGCGACAAGCACCGGCGCAATTTTCTCGTCCTCGTTTTCAACCGTCCGCCGATAATGTAATCGATGCCAATTTCAGTCGGGGCGGGCGTCCCGAGTGGTCAATTAAGATCACCGGGAAGCGGCGGCGACCGCATCGATGCGCCCTGCGCCGTCGGGCATCGACGGCGCGTCGACCGAATTCACGTGCATCTGCGCGCGTGCAACGCGCGGTGACCACGGCGAGGGTGGCCGATGAAGGGTGAAAGGGGACAAAGGAGGGGGCGGCGAGGGAGAAGGCGGGCGTAGGAGGAGGGGGAGCGGAGGGTGGCGTGCAGTAGGTCGCGCCGAGAGAAGCCGTCAAAATGTCGAGGCCCCTGCATCCAGGCGGCACGACGAGCCGATGGTACGAGCGGAGGAGGATGGTGTCGCGGTGTGCACCGGGCTGATCGCCGGTCATCGATCCACCGACGTGCCGATGCGAGAGAGGGTCGAGAGGGAGAAAGAGAGAGAGAGAGAGAGGGTCGGGCGCGCAAAGGGAGAGACGGAGGACTCCCTTCGGCTCCCGCCGATGCGACGGGTTCACGGTTCACGGTGCGGCGCGGACCATGCGGACGATAATGGGAGAATATTCAATCGGCGGGGCGCGCGGCG